GCGACAGTTAACCTTTGGCTGAGGCGGTGAGTGAGCTGCACCATTCTTCAGCTCGATCCGAGCGCAGGCAACATGTTTTTTTATTTTATAAAGCAGAAAGCTTTAGGCAAAAGTAGAAAAGATTTAATAAGACGTCAAAAACTGTTTACTAAACCTTTTTTTACGGGTTTAGTAAAATGCAATGGCACGCTACCGCTTTCAGGTTTAGTAAGTGTACTAAACCCTAACAGGGTTTTTTACTAAACTCTTGAAGCGATAGCGTATCATTGCATCGACGCTTTATTTTTAGAGTGTAATGCAGGCCTCATATTCTTCGTATAGATAATCGTAGCCTAAGTGGAAACGAACCATATCCAAATTTCCTCATTCATACGATTTGTGAAAGTGCAATTTAACTCCGCTACGTAAAACGAATATAATGTTCTCACTGCTTCTTTACGTACCGACGGACGTATTTTCCACGCTCATTTGGTAAATCATAATTGACAACCAATGAAACTTGGGGTACATCAATACCACATGCTAGTAAATCTGTTGCTATTAAAACACGACTAGAACCACTTTGAAATTCTCTCACACTGAGAACATTTTGTTTGTTTAGTCCCATATCACCCTGCTAAATAAACAAAACAAAAACAAAAATAATTGTCTTCGGCTACTCGGGTTATTCGAAAGTTTTGTGCGAGAAGAATCGAACGAAACCTAGGGTACAACTGCTTTTTACAAGATGAGTAGCGAGAGTCTCTTATTTTAGCCGTCTTCCACAGATTTTAGGGAGAGTTACAGGCATTCGTTACCCGCTAGCTCATCAAAACTTATTTCCATAAACGGCAAATTATAGTCAAATCACACAGGTACTAACGAGGGAACCTCCCGAGGTGATAAATCGCTTTTTGAGCGACATCTAATGGGTTATAAGTTATCAACCATGCTGATTCCGAAAATGACCATGGGGCTTCTCCATAACCCTTCGAAGATCCAGTCTTCTAGAAAACCAGTTTTTCAGAAACCCCAAAAAATATTCTAAACCTTTCTTAACAATGCAGAATTGTAGCGCGCAAATTTCTGATTAAAATGAAACATCCTCCAGCTCTACACGACCTTTTCTGGCAAAGTTATAAAATTTATAATAAAAGCTCTAAATTGTTCATTGTTAGCTAAAAGCTACAGAAATAATTAATTTAGGGCTCTTCTTACAAATTCTATAACTTTGCAAAGAAAGGTCGTGTAGAGCTGGGAGATGTTTCATTTTAATCAGAAATTTGCGCGCTACAATTTTGCATTGTTAAGAAAGGTTTGGATCATTTTTTAGGGTTTCTGAAAAACTGGTTTTCCAGAAGACTGGATCTTCGAAGGGTTATGGAGAAGCCCCATGGTCATTTTCGGAATCAGTATGGTTGATAACCTATAACCCACTAGATGTCGATCAAAAAGCGATTTATCACCTCGGGAGGTTCCCTCCTAAGAGGATACAATAAACATTGTTTTTACTTATCGACCAGTTTTATACATTTAAATAAATAATAATGGCGTGTAATACAGACGATCACCTAATTAATTTACGGTTGACTATTTGCACTCCCACGAGTTGCAACAAGGAGCTACTGGTACTCGCATGCAAAAAAATATGCTACAAGGGTCAACTAGGACGTCAATTCTAGAAAAATTTCTATTATGCAGCGTCATGTTGAACACTCTATTCAACCATAGTTGCAGCAAGCCGGTGAGTTCAAAGAAGTTTAACATTGCGGTAGGCTGTACAACAAATCTGTGCAGATTGGGTTACTGAAATATCGGATGATCTTGTTATTGACACCATTGTTATTGACCACCAGATTTTTAGCTTTTTCACTTACTCTCACAATCCACCTGCCCTCTCATATACTTATCGATTCTACCAGCAAACTGTTTTGTATGGGAGTATCAATAGCTCCTAACTGACACCTTTAAACGGTTACTGGAAGTAGCAATAGCTTCTTGATGACACTCCCCAGGAGTGCCAATAGCTTTTTGTTGGCCCTACCTGGAGTGCTCATAGACTCATCCATTAATTTACAGTTCTATACCCGGCAATATTAGCCATAAAAACTTTTCTTTTTTTCTACCATATGGATTAACTCACTATTTCCGACACAGTGAAATCGCGACGACGCATTTGTTCTGTTAACCAATCAACTTTTCGTCGAGTATTACAATAGATGACTGCTTGTACAATTGTTAATCTTTCAAAAAGATCACACAATGCATCGAATTTACAGTCCTTTAAAAATATATAAATGAAATAATTAGTTGTTGATTCTTTGTCAAATAGTACAAAGCACTTACTTCACGTTCAACATTTACATAAAATTGTTGAATACCTTCGAGTGTGAGTTCTTCTTTTTTCACAAGAATTTTGACTGGATCATTCATAAATTTTGTTGTTACATCTAATATATCACTAGACATCGTGGCAGATAGGAGAGCGACCTAGAACAACAACCGAAACTGCATAATGGAAGAAAAGTTTTTGTATTTCTAAACTAACCTGAACATTCTCAGATATCGTTGAAAAAATATCATAAATTTGCTCTTTAAAACCTCGCGACAATATTTCATCAGCTTCGTCTAATACGAACATTTTGATGTGTTTACTACCTATATAGAAAAGAAATACGTTGAATTGAAAGGAAAAACAGAGATGAGTGATCAGAACCTGGCGATCGATTCATATAAGAATCTTGTCAGAACTTATAAGCCTCTTATCAAATTCTTATATGATTGTGTAAGATTTTTCATCAAAAGTGGTAGAAGAATCCGATAAGATTTTCATAAGAGGTTCGTAAGAAAAACATAAGAAATCCCCAAGCCGAATGCTGGCTAGAAACAAAGCCTGATTTCCAATTTTATGGAATATTACTGTCGTTCATAGGAAGTGGCTGAGTGATAAAAAAATCACAAATTGTACTTTTCACGAATACACAACCACAAGCCAACAAAATAAATCACCGTTATGGTCATTTATTTTTAAAAGAATTGCGAAACAACTTAATCCTAACAGAAATCGGAAAACTGAGTCATAAGCTCCTTTCTAGTAGATAAAACTAACATAAGAATTTTTGGTACTTCTTATGAATTTCTTATGGAACTTCTTGTGAAAATTTGGTCGGATTCTTATAAAACCCTTACGATAGAAAATCTTAAACAATCTTACATAAGAAACTGGTAAGATTCGTATGAGAATCCTACCAGTTTTACCAAAACTTTTTTGTCTAGGGCGAAAGCTTACGAAGTGCTTGACGTTTTATCATATCGAGGACACGTCCAGGTGATCCAACAACAATTTGAACGCCTTGTTCAAGACGTTTCAAGTCATCACGAACTTTTGTACCACCAACACAAGCGTGACACGTGACATTCATATGATCACCTAGCTCCAATATAACTTTTTGCGTCTAGACGTAGAAAAGATTAAAAAAACAATATTACTGCTTCAAGAAGTAGTCGTACGCCAGTTTTGCCTCAGCGGCGTTTAGCATTGAACAAATATCATAAAGTCCCTCCTAAAGCGAGTAACATACTTGTTGAGATAACTCTCTTGCTGGTGTCAAAATAAGCGCTTGACATTCTTTCAAATCAAGATCTATTTGTTGAAGAATAGAGATGACAACTGCTGCTGTTTTTCCAGTACCGGATTGTGCTTGTGCAATAACATCTCGGCCTAAGTGATTCAAAGAAAAGCGAAGCATGTACAGAGTGATATTACTTAAATAATCACAGACAAATCATCTAACCTGATATGAACGGTTTAATGGCACGTTGCTGAATAGCAGACGGTCGTTCAAAACCATAACCATAAATACCACGTAAAAGTGGTTCTCTTAAATTCATCTGATCAAATTGTTCGACCATCTCTGTCCAATTAGTTTCGATGATCCCATCTATATGATAAAAAAATTATAACTTCACGCTCTTGGCACGTCTCGAAAGCTTCTTACCGGGTTCAATCGCTTGAACGCCTGAATTTTGGTTGGTCTTGGCGTCATTTCTAGTGAAGAAAAAATAAATTATTATCACGCTATGGAAACAAACAAATTTAGTACTTGTCACTAGACATTTTGATTTAATGAATCCATGATAACGGTAAAGAATAATGTGTATGTAGCTTTTTAGATTTTGTAAAGTATTGATAGAAAGACATAAAGTTTGAATGTATTTGTACTCATTTGAGTGAGCAATTGCGTAATTACTTTGAAGTAATCATGCAATAACTTCGATTTGTGTGTACATGTGAGTCACGGTAAAGGTTAAACTAGTTTAATCTATATTTTATTAGTCAGCTGAAATAAGCATCACAGATAGTCAGGAATCGCGAAGCATTGTACCTGGCTATCTGAAGAAACGCAACATAGACAAATGGAATAACAACAAAAAACAAAAACTACCATTTAAAAAGGTTAAATTCTTTATCTGCAAGTTGATACATCTGTTTAGTCGGAATCTCATATTGTAGATGAGAATTTTACTTTAGGGATATAACGATACGATTGAAATTACAGAAACTTCATTAGTCTACTAATCTACAATATGAGATTCCAACTAAACAGATGTATCAACTTGCAGATAAAGAATTTAACCTTTTTAAATGGTAGTTTTTGTTTTTTGTTGTTATTCCATTTGTCTATGTTGCGTTTCTTCAGATAGCCAGCTACAATGCTTTGCGATTCCTTTACCATGACTCACATGTACACACAAATCGAAGTTATTGCGTAATTACTTCAAAGTAATTACGCAATTACTCACTCAAATGAGTACAAATACATTCAAACTTTATGTAACTGGTAATGGAAGTTGAACACAAAATTAGAGTCACCCTAATGAGAAACTTCATTAGTAACTCTAATTTTGTGTTCAACTTTCATTACCAAGCAGAAATTTTACAACCAGATACTATGGCTACAGTAATGGGAAAGGCTATCATCCATTTCTACAAAAGAGTAGTACATTCTTGTGAATGGATGAACTGGTTTAGTTGACTCCTTTTCTATCTTGCAAAATTCCACCATCTGGTGTCTGTCATGAATTGTAACCTGAATAGATAGAGAATTTTAATTCTCTACACTCCCTAATTAGTATTTTCCATTTGAGAAAAAGCAAAACAAAGGTATAGCCACCCGTGAAAAACGTTTAAAGGGTATAACTATTTGAACCATATCATAACTGTTTAAAAGTTTCTTATTCTTGTCAAAAAACTAATTTTCGTTTTCTAAAATACGGCTAAATTATGTTCTGAAAAACGGTTGAAGTTTCTTGATGTCACAAAAAAACCTTTTAGGTATTTTAAAATACCACATCAATTCAGGATTTTTTAAAGCACGGATTTTTCATATTCTAAAAATCCCAAAAGGGTTTTCCGATAAAAGTAAAGAACGTTTAAACAGTTATGATATGATTCAAATGGTTATACCATTTTCCGTATTTTAAAATAGCTTTTCTTTTTTAGAGAGTAGCAAACTACTAATTTTGTTCTGAAAGCAAATTTGAATCTTCGGTGCAGAATACAAATGATCGATTATAAAAACTAATCACCTGTCTAATTGAACTTCTTCTTAGCATATCTAACTGAAGCAACTTTATTTTTCAAAACACAATACCTATTGAAATTCAGCTTGAAACAAAGTCTTATATTTCATATGGCAAAGCAAAATCGTTCTAAGTCAAGGTGGCTCTCGAAAGAGTTTTTCGTTAACGTTTTTTGAGAGTGTAGGAGAATCCATCTTTGGTAGCATCTGACATCATTTCACACTTCTAAAAATAATTTATAAGTTTATTTTGCTGTGTATGTGATCTTGTTAAGTAAGAAATTCTGTTTCTTCCAGTTTGAAATGCATGACATTATATTCTGCGTTTGAGAGCAAAAATGGCGATGATATTGATTTATGCGTAAGTCAGTCAGCGCATTCAGTATGGTAGAGCAGAAGCATGGAAAATGTATCGAGTATCGCTAGTTGAAGCTAGATACAAAACACAATACATGTAGATCGATAAAAGAATGAAAAAAGATAAATTGTGTTATGGGTCGGTATGTCTAGATAAAGCCGATTGATTTCTAGATGTATCTACTTATGTATCTAGTAGCAATTTTAACCCGATTCATCGGGCAATTTATTTGGAGATGAATCTAATTGTGGATCGGCTCCAGATGAGACACCGGTGAAGTCGTCCGGTAAAGCGGCTGATACATCGTACAATGTTGGGATATATCTATTATTTGAATCATCAAATAATCGTGGAGATGATTTTTATGATCAAAAACAAAATATTACAATACAAGTTCTTACACATTATTCTTATATACCATTAACAGTATGATTTCACTTATTTTATCAGCGTATCAAAACATATGCTAATAAACTAAAACTGAACGTTCTATGTCAACTCACTCAATCTACAGGTATAAAAATCGTTAACGGCACCATTCTCTCCTTCTTTGAGTTTTTGATAAATGGCTTATTATAGCATTGTCAGGACGACTTCCCGTAGTGAAATTTTGTTGAAGTTTCACGATGTTTCGGTGATGCAGTTTCAACATCAAATGCGTGGTCAAGTGTGAACTTTCTATAATTTCACACGCGTGCACAAGTGAGAACTTTTTCTCACACAGCATTTTGCGACTTTCATTAGTGACCAATAGAAGTGTTAATTTAGTGTAATTTTATAAAATAAAGATAAATGAGTCTTACCTTTAAAAAATAAAGGTAAAATAAAGAAATAAAAATTTATTTTTACTGTTTCAAGTGAATTAGCAAACAGGAAAATCTTAGTATGTCATCGTGATACCCTTACCTCAAATCATGAGCTAATTATTCCTCTTCAATTGTCTGAATAATAATGACTGGTTTTAAGTCATGATGAATTACCCGGATCGACTAAACTAACCTAGCTCGAAAAGAGAAGATTGAATAAAACAAGCGCAGCAAGTTCCGAGTAAAAAATCATGGTCGCAGAAGGAGAATAACCATTTGTTTCGTCTTTATTTCTTTATTGTTTGGAATTATGCCTACAGTTCAGATATTTTCAATCAGACACATGTTCTAAATAAAGTACTTCGTCTGAATAGCAACAAATTCTGTGGCCTTAGAACATTCCATATGTACTACATATATTGCATAAAATAAAATCTTTATTTTTTTATTTTCCTTTTATTTTTAAAAAATAAATGAATTATGCCTACATGATAAAAATTTCGTATCAGGGAAAGAAATTAAAAAGCGAGAAATGTCGTCATGATACTAATCTTAAAAAGTTTATTTTCATTATGACGAGGACATTTGACTCAATATAAAGAAATACCAAGCTCAGTTTTGTGAAAAATTTCTGTTTTTCGAAGTTGCAAAGGAGAAGGAGCAATGCCCTTAAATGAGCAAAAATGCCAAAACATTTTTCGATGACCATTTTTCGATACAGAAACAGATAGCAATGGTGATAGGAAAGTAATAACAAGTTTTCTGAAGTTTTCTGTTTCTCGTTACGTATTCAAATTCATAAGTAGACGAAGCAAAACATCTGATCGATCAATACATCCAATTTCAAATCAATATCACAACGAAGACCTTGTAGAGATGGATTAAAAAGTGTAGTCGACGGGAGTCGGTACGTCTCGACGTAACACTTTCCTTTTAATAGTCTTTTTACCACATGTTCAGATGCCGACGAGACATACCTTATCCCGTAGACTGCGTAAGTTCGACCGTCAAGACGAGTCTTTTACAATTTGCATAGTTCTGTCATGCTACATCTACGTCGAGCCGACGGATATAATCCCGTACTCTACTAATTTTCCACCCGTTTATACACCGTCTACACCCTAATTACTTCCAATTATCCGTCGAGACGGCAGTTTATATCAACGATTTTCAGTACGTAGTATTCCAGTACGATTTTAGTAACATACTACGTCGTCGAGACTATACAAATATTCGTAGTCTTCCACACTTCATTTGTGTCGACGGCGTAAATTTCGTCTGGCAAATTGATCCTACAAATTATTTTCCGTCCATACGACTAAACTTCCGCAGGCTACGTAAATTTATCCATCTTTTCATACGTCTTTGTGCTTTTTCACTTTTGAACTGAAGCCTACATCGTATTGATGATCATCTGTCTGTCGTCAAATTGCTTGGCCGAAGTAAATCTGTCTTATACGGCCGTCGAACGGATAATTAGTCGTCCTTTACGAATTTTTATACTGACTTTAACTAGCTTTATGAGATCCATGCGCTCGCTAGAATTTCTGATGATAGACAAAAACATTTTATTTTGTCTCTTACCAACAAATTCTAGCAACTTGAACTGGATCAGTTTTTGGGACACAAGACAAATAATTTAGTCCTGTAGAGAAATTATGGTGCCTGCTAGTAAGAAGCATCCGTCGTACACTTTGTGTCGACGGTAAAAATAAGGTCAACATTTATGCATAGTATAGCTAGTAACATGTGAGTGATCACTTGTAAAGACTATTAAATATATACGTAAGTGTACAGTCGTTATACGAATGTATCATTATAACTCGTAGTTTCCTTTTGCACAATTTAGTGTAATGGGAAAATACGTAGTTGGAGAAGGGCAGCGTATGAAAGATTGGCAGATCGAATCTAGGAGAAGAACTTCAAAAATTGTTCTAATCGAAAAACTCTCCTATAAGCAGTATTTCTCTTTTCTGTAGAGAAATTCTGCAGAAGCAAGGTAAGTAAGCGTAATTGGATGACTATGCATTATTATATCGATCGACATCAACAGCATAAAACATTGTGCGAGATGGAGCAGTTGAGCTTGTCGGTCTCATAATGGGAGGTCTTGCGGCTATTCAAAAAATTCATACACAATGCCAACTGCAATAAAGAGAGGAACATTAGTTCTATGTGTGTACTTAACTTAATATACTCGAACAATCTGAACAGGTTCGATCCCTGTTCTCGCTATACTCGTTTCTTTTTTTTTGGCAATTTTACTAAGTCAATGAATATCAGTCAATTTTATCATCTTCTTTTTATGCGAATTATAGAAAGAAAAAGAAAAAGAAAATGAAAAAATCAAGACAACCGTGCAGGTTCGACCCAAGTGCATATCAGCCAGAGCTGGAATCGGAGAGGCAGCAGGTAAGCGGTTATCGGTAGAGTTCGGTAGAAATGGCCTGGAAAAGCCATCCGGTTTTTTTTTGATTTTTCCGTTGACTGTAACTCAGGATCTTACAACCAAAAATGCCTATAGATTTATAGATTTATTTAGTTTGTTAGCAGTGGCAAGTGTTTGAATCTACCACAGAGCAAAGTGATTTTTGATCTTTTTTTGAATGATAGTTGAAGGGACACACTAGTCGTTGAGTTGATTGTTGTCGTCGTTGTTCTTATGAGCTGTAAAATATGCACAGAAATCTTGAAATGAATGAAACGTAGTAGTTTCATCATCATTCGATGAATCGCTATCGCCAATGATATCACCAGGATGGTTGCTAAAATAAACGAAAGATGTGCGCTATGTCTTAACGTTAAGTGGATGATCCTAGAGCTAGAGTGTAAATTTAAAATGAAGTGATAAAACTTTATACTTACTTAACATAATCTTGTAAAACATCTCTGTCATATTCTGCTTTTTCAATATTTGGATATGACGATGGTAAAACTAATTTTAGAATTTCTATAGCTTTATCATACATTTCAAACATTTTATCGTGTTGCTTCTGACTGTGGTATACACCGGCCATGTTTTCATAAGTTGAAGCAATATCAGGATCATTTACCGGTTGGTATTTCAATTTAATATCAAGTATGGTCTGGTAATATTTCAATGCTTCGTTATAGTTACGCATCGATTCGTATGCTCCTGCTATAGATTCTAATATTGATACTAAATAAGGACAATATGGTAGAAAATTGTTTTCGATTACATTTAATGCTTGTAAAAAATAATTGAGTGCTTCATCTTTGAATGCTTTCTTTTTCTTTGCTAGGTAAACTTTACCAATAGCGTCATAACATAGTTATATCATCATGGAGCTATATCATCATGGATTTGCAGTTCTTTAAATGTATCAAGTGCTTTAAAAAAATATTCTAAAGCTAAATCATTTTCTGGACGTAATTGCACGCTATATATTAATCCAATATTCAACCATGTATCAGCAATACTCTCTTTTGCATCATTAATCTGTTCTTGAATTGTCAATGCTTTAAACTGACAATCAAGTGCATCAGATTTGGAATGCACATTCAGATAAGCAAGTCCCATTTCTTTGTAACTTCGAATCAAATTTAGTGAATAATTTGTAGATTGTTCAATAGACAAACAACAATAAGCTAAAGCTATATCGTAATCGCCGCGTTTCTCTGCCACTCCCTTTAGACATAAATAACAGTCAATTATATAGTCCGATGTAGGATTCGTAATTAATAAATCGTTTAATAGACGTTGATAATATTTCTCAGCTTTATCATACAAATTCATACGAAGAAGTAAAGTAGCAAATGATAAGGGTGTTCGGGCTTTTGCTACTTCTTGTTTTTCCCATTGATAGAGTTCATTAAATTCATAAATCCCCCCTCATCACAAAAATTCAACTCAGCTATCCATAAATTGATTGTATCATCGAAATACACATTATTAATTTTAAATATCGATCCGGCCATAAAAAGAACTTCATTTTCTTCTGAATATTGACTTATCTTCGATATATCAGCGAACGGTTTAATATTGATAAGATTTCTTGTAATATGGAACATGATATGAATTCCGGTCGGGTCTCCACTTTCGGCAAAACCTCTCGCTGTATCTAAATCGAACGTGGTCGAAAGGAAACTGTTGATAGATATTGCTTCGTCAATATTTTCTTTCATTAAGTTCAGTTCTTTGTCAGATATAGTTTGACCCCGATATAAGATACGATCAAAGTCACGTTCGGCTTTATCATATTCAGCTTTCAGCTGATTGTAAAGGTCTTTTATGAAAAATCTTAATGAAAATAATGTATCAATATCATGTGTACGCAATGCTTTATTAACTACATCATAAAAGAAATTTTGTCTACTGTATCATTCCAAAGCATTTTCTGATCGATACGTATTTTCAAATTTTTGTATATTTTCTTCTTGTTGAACATTGCCATTAAAATATTGTTTATACATTTCAATTAAGTCCTGTTTTGCTTGATCCTGATCGTAGACAACATCGATCAGCTCTTCAATAACAAACTGAAACCTGTTAGGAAGTATAAACTAAATCTCATATCAGCTGTCATCTTTCAATATACATATTCTTATCGTCACTCGATGGTTATTTTCCCTTTCTGTTCTTCTGATATATGTATTCACTCTTCTGCTTTTTA